GCGAGGCAGCCCGTGTGTCTGGAGGATGTGCTCCAGGCAGAGTGGCAGGACAAAGAGCAGGCATAGCCTGGGTCTGTCACAAGCCCTGTAAGGACTTGTACTCTGAGTGGGCTGGCAAGTGTCGAGGGTTTTGACCAGAGGGGTGACATGATGGGACTTGCATTTTTATGACTCATCTGGCTGCTGTGTTACAAGTAGACAGTTGGGGAGCGAACAAGGAGGTCACCCTCAGAGCCTACTGCAGCCATCAGGACCCGATGACGTGTGTGTATATGATATATAATTAATTAGTTGGTACAATATATATAAGTTTATTTATATATATATTTATATATGTGTATATCTACATGGTTGGTGAAGGTGGAGGAGAGCTGGTAGGGGGCGCTGGTGGGCTGGATGTAGACTGTGAGGGACCAGCAGGACTCCGAGGTTGGCCTGAGCACAGAAAGGACAGAGGTGCCGTTCTGGGGACTGGAGTGTATCCCAGAGTTGGGGAAGATATGGTGACGGTGATATATGTCACCTCATTTAATCCTGACAAAACCCTGTGAACAGTCATCATTAATTTCATTTTATATGCAAAGCAACAAGCCATGCTGTAGTCAGTTGCCCAAGATCACATGGCCGGTTAAGGGGGCAAGCGAGATCCCAGCTCAGGCTCCTGTCACCCCGAAGCCCCCGAGAGTCGGCTCTCCCCATGATCCTATTTCAGCATAAATGCTGAATAGTAGTCCTGTTCAAACAAACTCCTGCCCATCCATAAGCCCCCTTAGGGGTGATAGTTGTTTGCCTGGAGAGTGCTGGAACGAGAGGCTCGTTCCCTCCCTTCCCTAGTGTTGGCAGCGGGAGGAGGGAGAGGGAGACTGACCCTGGGCACCTTCTCTGTAGCTCCCTCCAGGTAATTGGCAGCCTGGAGGAGGTGGTGACTTAATAGCCAGGCAGAGAAAAGGGCTTGGACTTTGGTTTAAACAGCAACCCTCACCAATAATGAAAGATTAGGAGTGAGAAAACCACAGATAAAAATAGCACTTACTAGTTAACTGGAAAACAATATATTTTTGCAACCACTGGTTCCACGAGAAAATAATTGGGTCCCAAGGCAGGGAATGACTCGTTTTCATGAATGATTATATTGATCATTGGAGCAAAATGGATACATCCCCTTTGGAAAGCAATTCAAAGGAGAAGCTTCTAGCTGGTCAGGCATGCCCAGTGTGAAATTCTGTGAGATTGCAAGAGGAGAAAGGAACAAAGCTGCAAGCTAATGAGGGAACCAGGGGCTGGCTCCAGCACAAGCCCCTTTGGGGCTGTTGATTGGGCGATGGCGAAGCAATAGAACTTGCTTCCACTTATGTCCTGAGCTCGCCCACAGAAGAAGAGTGTCCATTCAAGGGCAGCCATATTAGTTCCTTATTCTTCTTAACCCATTGGGTATTTTTTTTTTTTAATTTCCATTTCTTTCTAGGAGGGATTTACTAGCAACAAGCAGCTTGTTCTGATGGCTAAAAGGAGCAGACTGGGAGGTCGTTTCCAGCCTCCCTTTGCACTGACTGGAGAACGTGACCCCCAGTATACCCCCTCCTTTCTGTTCATAGAGTCATTCAGTCATTCATTCCATAGATAGTTCTAGGGCAGCAACTGTAACTAAAAAGCAATGGGAAACATTGGTTATTGCTTTGTACCAGCCAGGCTTTATTCTAAACACTACATTTATGAGCTCATTTACTCTTCACCTCAACTTGAGTTGAAGAATGGGTAACGTCTCAGACCAATGTGGGACACTGCCTGATGCTGGAGACAAAAGGCTAAATAAAAACCACCTGTCTCATGGCTTCATGGAGCTTATTTTCTCTAATGCATGGAAAATAGTCACTCAAGTAAAGAAAAGTGAAAGCATGGAGGTACAGGGAAGGAGGGAGCAGTGGGTGTCGGGGCCTGGCTTGGTGAGGAAGCTCTGAGAGGAACTGTGAGACCTGCCCCCTCACTGCTGTCAGGTGCACTTCAGGGAAACCTTCCAGGCCCCTCATTTAAAGCAACCACCCCCATTGCCCTTGATATGCTCCCCCACCTAGTGCCACTATACAGATTGTGAGCTTAGCATGTCACATGCCCCCACTTCAGTAGAACTGGGGCCACCCTGGGCAGCTGTTGTAGTCACACCCCGTGTCTGGGCGGGGTTTAGAGGCCAAGACCCAGGCCTCAGCTTCCAGTCCACAGCTTCCTGCTTAGCAGTGGTTCTGGTGTCAACTGGCTGGGGCACAGGGTCCTGGCCTAGGTGGGACTCTGGGCTGGGCGGAGCCTGGGTTCTGTGCCAGTTTCTTAAGCATCAGGGCTTTCAGCTCACTGCTGAGTTAAGAGGTGCTGCGAGGGTCCGGGGAAACAGCAGTGGAATGAGGTGAGGCTGGGGTGGCTTCTGAGCCCAGGTGGCTGCTTCCCCAGGGGAGCCTGAGGGGACCTGCCTGGACAGGACTTGCAGGCAGCTTCGCACCTCCTCTTGAGCCTCAAGGGAGGCTGGGCTTTTGCCCTTCAGGAGATCTACCAGCAGAGCTGTGAACACCAGGTTCTCACAGACCTGGCCAGGCAGAGTAGCTCAGACTCCTGCTTTCCTTCTGCTGTGTTCCTGCAGGATCCATTTTTGTCTGTCTGTCCAGTTGAGGGCAAGCCCTGCGTTTTCCATTGGTTGCCCGCTGGTTCCTGGAGAGGAGCTCGGCTGCCTTGGTGAAGGAGTGAGTTATGAGGGGCTTCCTGGGTGGCCACGGCTGCTACTTGTTCAGGCAGGGGCTCCTGGACACATGCTCCTCCGTCCCCTCGGCCTTCCTGACAGAGGCCAAGCAGCTGTTGGTCTGTTTCCACAAAGGGTCACCTATGGCACCGAGAAGGGATGGTATTCACAAGGTTACTGCGGGAGCCGGCTACAGAGCTGTGCCCTGGTTGCTGTCCCTCAGAGCCCACCCCTAATTCTGCGGCGCACAAACACCAGTGTGAGCATCAATAAATCATTTTTCTTTGATTGAGTCTGTTTGCTGGTCGTCAGATTCGCTGCCTTTATTTCATCTCACTTGGCCCAATGGTAAATTCATTTCTCATTTCCTGAGGACATTAAGGCAGGGGTCCAGAACTCCATCCAGGCTCTGCTAATACCCTCGGCCCTGGGTCAGTCCTTTCCTCTCTCTAGTCCTTAGTCTGCCACAACAAATGAAGAGCGACAGTTGGTCCCAAGCGGTGCTGCATAGCGCACCTGCCGGGCACTGCCACCGCAGAGAGCGGGCTCAGGAGCTCTCAGAAGGCGTCCCGGTCCTGCGGATGTCGGGGGGGGGGGGCGCTTCCAGGACCCTTCAGCCCAGTCTGGCAAAGTTGGGTGACCAGGTGACCCTGGCTTGTCACCGATGTGGGATTGGGCCCCTGTGGAGAGCTGCTCTCGCCCATGCCCTCTTCTCAAGCCACACTTCCATTTCTCCAGGTTGGTCTTTGGCACACGAGAAACCAACTTGTTGCTTTAGAGAGAACAGGACAGGGTTGGGATTCAAAATACCATGGCTAGATTTTCTGTTTCAAAGCTTTCAACTTTATTTTTTTTTTGACAGATGAACCCTGTCTTTAACTTCCTTTCTTGTAAGCTGGAGGGAGGTCACCTGGGGGGTAACTCCGATCCTAGAAATGGAGGAGAAACACTCACTCCACCCCTGGTTTCCCTGGTGAGAATGAGCCAGGGTAGAGTTAAACTGCTAGGTTGGGCCACTGTCGCCCCAAGCCACCCACCCACACAGCCCACCTCTGAGTGACTGCCTCCCCCCGTCATTTGATGTGTCCTCAAGGGAGACAGACTCATTTCATTACAAGCACAAAGTGTAATTAGGACAGCAGATCTGCTGTTTAACCAAAAAAAAAAAAGTCCTATGACAGATTTCAAGGTCCTGGAAAAGTGATTTGAGGCTGTGGGAAGATAGGTGAGAGCTGGCCTTCAATTGGATCTCTTCCAGCCTGGGAACAATACTCAAGATGTGGTAACCCTGTTTACTCCAGAAAATGCAACAGTGACTTTTTAACAAAAATCTACTGCGAGATAGCCCAAGGTTGCATGGATATAAACTTCATGAAAGTCTTGTTTTCCATTCTGTGACTTGCAATATGACTAACCTCCCCCCCCATCACCCCCTGCACCTCAGGCCCATTTTGTTCACTGGGCATTTGCTCCACACCAGGCATTGTACCAGGCACGAGGGATTGTCACTGCACGGCAGCCTTAGCAGGCAGCTTCTGGTAACCCCATTTTATGAAGGTTCAGAAAGGCAAGTGACTTGCCCGGAGTTGCAAATCGTGTGAGTGGAAAAGGTGGGTTTGAGGAGCTTTGAGCTCTTGGCCTCCATGCTGTGCTGCTGCTGCTTAGTCCCACAGGCCTCTCAGCCCCCACACCAGGCTCGGGCATTCCCCCCAGCCTGCCTTTCTTCCCTTACATTCCTTCTTGGCAGGATGCATACTTCTCTAAACCTCAGGCTTAGCAGGTGCTGAGTTCCCCACCTGGACCACTCCTTGGTCAAGGAGGAGGGATTATTCCTCAGTCCACCAGCCACCCAGGCGGTCCTGGTGCTGGGGCCCGCAGGCTGGCAGCCCATGTCTCTGTGAGCCTGTGTCCCAGACTAGAAAATGGAGGCGGGAGCAGAGTTGGGGGTATCTGTGGGTCTCTGGAAAGTACCTGGGGTTCACCAGAGAGGCAGGTGACCCCCTGCCTGTGGGAAGTTTGCCTCCAGAAAGCACTCTCTGCTTAGCAGCTCCTGACCTTGCTCTGCCTACTCAGCATTTTAATTGCTAAATTTATACCGTGAGCTTGCCTTCTTCACGAGTATTTTTAAAGAATTCCAAAGTCCTTTCCTAAAAGAGTTTTCTGTCCCTCAAAGGACTCAGGGCTCGCCAAGCTCAGGCTTGACTGCCCAGCCGGGTTGTGCCTTCCTTCCTTCCCTCTGTCCCCTCCCAACACTGACCAGGCCTGCTTTGTCCAACAGACAGTTTCTTCTGGCCTTCCTGGACCATCCCACTTGGCTGGACCTGCCCTGCTCCGTGACTCCCGGGCTCCCCGTTCTGCAGCCTCTCTGACTCCCTGTTCCCTGGGAAGATGTTCCTGGTAGGCCTGACTGGAGGCATTGCCTCGGGCAAGAGCTCGGTGATCCAGGTGTTCCAGCAGCTGGGGTGTGCGGTGATCGATGTTGACGTCATTGCCCGCCAGGGTGAGTGGAGGGCCTGGTTGCAGGATCGTCTGCAACAGCACCCCTGGCTCCCTTCCTTCTAAAAGTGCTCTCCAGGCCTCAAGGGAGGAAGGCTTTCCTGTCGGCCCTGTCCTGATTCCTGCTCCCTGCCCCATGCTTGCCTTCTCTGCTGTTCTGTTGTCTTCTTTCCCCTTCACTTAGGAAGAGCAAGAGCGCCTACTCTCTTCCTTAACTGCTTTCCCTGCCCTCGTTTTGTTTTTGCTCCAACTGAAGGAAGCACCCCTGGGCTCCCCCATCATTTTGCCTCCAGTCCCTTGGGGTCCCCTGGTTGGCCTGGAGGCTGGCAGGGTGACCCAGCCTCCTCTTCATGGCACAGTGGTCCAGCCGGGATGCCCCGCCCACCGGCGCATCGTGGAGGCCTTTGGCACCGAGGTCTTGCTGGAGAATGGCGACATCGATCGCAAGGTCCTGGGAGACCTGATCTTTAACCAGCCCGACCGGCGGCATCTGCTCAACACCATCACCCACCCTGAGATCCAAAAGGAAATGATGAAGGAGACTTTCAAGTACTTCCTCCGGGGTAAGGCCTAGGCCTGGGGTGGGGCCCTTCTCTGGGGAAAGGTTGGCCAGGGTGGGGGGAACTGGGTACCCAGGCTATTGAGTTCAAGCTATTTATTGGCACCCACCCCCCAGGCAGAGCCCTGTACCAGCCCCAGAGGAAAGAGGCACATGTCCCTCAGCTCTTAAGGAGATTGACAATTTAATGAGAAGAGACACTTGAGACTTTTGAGTCATGATCCCTAAGAAGTAAGTTGATTTTTCTAGTGGGGGTGGGAATAATAATAGCAGATGAAAATGGAGTCATGAGGCCTGAGTAAAGTCCTGGCTCTCACAGTGCCAGACCCTTTATTCTCTCACGTGTCCAGTCTGCATGCACTGAGTGCCCTCCCACCCCCGCTTCCCCTCTGGAAAGGATGACTTGTCAGACATCACGCTATGGACCCTCCCGCCCCCTCCCCTCCTGGGGGGAGCTGGTGCTAGGCATCGCCCTGCCGCCAGCTTTGGCTCTTGCTGCATCTCAGTACCTCGCTGCAGGCCTCCTTCCCTTCCTCCTCCTCCAAGGAGAGTCTCTGGACTCCCTGCCTTTGTCCTGCCTTTTGTCCATGCCAGCCCCCTCCCGCAGGAGCGAAGCCTCTGCCTCTCGCGCCTGCCCTTTCGCTGGCTCCCAGGCCGGCTGCAGTACATCTGCAGGGCTCTGAGGCGGCCGCGGCTCTCTCCTTCTGAAATGAAGCATCGGATAATGTCACCGGCTCCAAAGTTGGCGCACTGTGTCATCCACCCGCCCCCCCCCCCAGCCACCACCACTTAAATAAAAGCCAGAAAGCTCTTTTCAGCTCGATAAGGTGAAAAATGGGGACGACAGCTGTGGCTTCCACAGTCCCAGTTTTTCCCTGATGAGTATAACAAATACAACTGTCAAAGTTGGTATAATCAAACGTCAGATAAGATCACCAGCTGTTGGGGAGGTCTCTGTGTAGGCAGACGGATGTCTTAATAGAGTCGGGATAGTTTGCAGAGCTTATCAAGCAGGAGGGCTGTGACAGCTCTTCAGCCCTTTGCCGGTGAACCAAAAAAGCTGCCCTAAGGCTCCCGAGAGGGGCCGAGGAGAAAGGACAGTGAGGGGAGCAGAGGCGAAGGGAGCGGCAGGAGAGGGAGATAAGAGGACCTGGCCTTGGCTTCTGCTCGGAGATGGGAGGGGCACGGGAGCTGGCCTCCCTCCTCCAGGACCTATCGATCGATCGTTGTCATAACCCTCATCCCTGGAGCACTTGATGAGGGCCTGTGGAGGTGCAGGGTAGGTGCCGAGTGGTTTAATCCCCTCTTTCACCTGAGGTTCCCCTTGGGCTTCCTGAGCAGCAGGTCCTGGGGAACAGGACTCCCCAGGCTGCGTGTTGGGCTCTGGGCAGAAGCGGAGCCTGTCCTTTCCCCTCACTGCTCCTGGACCCCAGCTAACTTTTTCACATACGCACAGGGTCACAGGCATAAAGTGAACCAGGAGTGTGTTTCTTTTTTTTTTTTTTAAGATTTATGTATTTATGCATGCAAGAGCTGGGGTGTAGGCCAGAGGTGCGGGGAGATGAAAGGATTCACCAGAGACAGAGTGGGGAGCAGAACAGGCAGATATACTGAAACACACTCCTGAGGGGAGCAGCGGGCGAGACAGGAGAGGGCTGCTGCACCACGTGGGTCAGCTCCATGGCCGGGGATTAAACTCAAGCATCGAACTCATGCTGCAGTGGCTGCCACTAGCTTCACAGTGCTTAGATATAACCCCTGGAGCCCCCAGGGAGGCCCAGGAGGGTGTTTCTGAGTTGGCTGCCCAGGGACATGTCCTTTCAGTGTGTGAGGGCGCCACCCTATACTAGCCTTGGCTTGTAGTCGCCCAGAGAGAGGATCAGCCAGCACCTTTGCCCACTGGCGTTGGTTACGCAGTGCTAGTCATAACCACCAGCTCACTCCAGCCAAGTCTGGTAATCCCTGGCTGGAGGTCGGCCTCTGATGCCTGGAAGCTGCTGCTTCCTTTGGGGGCTGCTGCCACTTCCATATGGAGAGCTGGTGGAGAGATTCAGGTGGGGCTCTTCAGTGGGGGGCCAGGCTTGGGCCTGGCTCTTGGGGAAGAGTTTTTTTAGCAAAGGTTGGATGAAGTAGAGGCAAAAAGGACCCCATCACTCCTGGAAACTACCCTGGGTTCTATAACTCTGGCTGTGTCACAAATAACAATTGTTTGGGTTCAAGACCGAGGTGGACCGAGCCCTGTGTGCCTTCCCTGCCACCTCACCTGCTACTCCTCACCAGCTGCCGAGTCCTCTGGCTCAGCCAGGGCAGTAGAACTTGTTGCTCCTAGTGCTTTGCTTTTCTGCTGTCCTTGAGTCCGCCACCCCATCTGCTCACTTTCAAATTTGGGAAGCCCTACCTGATTTTCAAGGCCAGTACAAATGCATCCTTTCTAGGAGCTCTTCCCAGATTAGCCAGCTAGAAATGACTTTCTGCAGCATTCTGTTCTGCGTGGCACTGGAACTGACTAGTTCAGGTTAGTCCTCTCCTCAGAAGGTCTCCCTCTCTGTTGGGGGACTCCTCACCACAGGGGACAGAGGCCTCAGCTCTGTTCCCACATCTGGCACACAGCCAATCCTCAGTGCATGCTTGCAGAACTGAGCTCGTGGGCTTCCTGGCCTCTCCCCAGGATACCGCTATGTGATTCTGGATATCCCCCTGCTGTTTGAGACCAAGAAGTTGCTCAAGTACCTGAAGCATACAGTCGTGGTCTACTGGTAAGTGTGTGGCGTGGCCCAGCAGACAGGCTAGAAAGGAGCATCCTTGGGGGAAGACATGTACCTAAGGAATGACACACATCACTTTACCCTTTCCCCGTGGGACAGCCAGGAAGCACAGCGGGTTGGCAGCAGTACCCAGAGCCTGTAGACACCAACCTCTGTGCCTAACTTCTGTGCCTGACCCCGATGTGCCTGGAGATGGGTGTGGGAAGAGAGAGAAAAGATAAAACACACACACACACACACACACACTCTCCACCACCACCACCACCACCACCCCCCCCCCCCGCCCCCATCTCTCTCTCTCTCTTTTCTCTAGTGCTTGGGAAGGGCTCCCCCTGCTGGCTCTTGAGACACTTTGGCCCAGATGCCAGGCCTTTGCCTAGGCTACCATGTTGTTCCTCACTGGATCCCAGTTCTCTTCTGTAGCACTTTTCAACTTTCCAAACAGCTCCCACATTTATTACTTTGTTCGGTTCACCTTTCACCATGAGGTAACCAGACAGGATACTTCTGAGTTAGAGAACAGAAAACTCAAGGGGGGAGTTAGAGGATTTGTCCAGGGTCACCCACTGGCAACACCGATGAACAGAGAGTTGCAGGGAGGGGGCCTTCAGAGCCCAGCTGAGGATTTGTTCTCAGAGTCCCCCGGGACAGGAAGCAAACTAGAATGCAGGCTTGGCAACAGGAGGAGGATCAAACTGTCAGAGAAAATGAGTCAGTCCCAGAGGGGTGAGAGAGTCAGTGAGGGTGTCTCTGCCTCCCAGAGACTTCCTGGATGCCGCCCACCAGTACGGCAGACACAGAAGTGGGCACTTGGCTTTGTGGGTATTTTGGGAACAGAGTGGTTCTCAAGAGACTAACGTGTGGGAAGCGCCTAGCACACTGGGGGTGGGGCCTGGAGTGCTCAGCGCCCTCAGCCTCACCCCACCCCACCCCACTCCTTTAAAGCCCAGTCTGAATCCTGTGAGCCTGGCATGGAGCTCACACACCCTCTTAGCTCCCCCAATGACCCGTGTCGCCCCATACAAATCTGCGACCTGTCTGGGTTCTCTGTTCCCTGTTTGTGAAAAACTATCAGCTGAGGCCAAACTTCATGAACACTTGCAATTCTCTGCCTTGGAGTCTAACATAATTAGAACTTTGTACCAAGGGCTTAAAAAAAAAAAAGATTGGAGAGCGTAGGTGAGGAAGCAGAACGGGGCTGGTTACATCTCCACTGCCCCTGCCCGGCCCCTCCCTGGGCTCCCTTTGAGGCCAGTGTGTTGGCTGAGAACAGAGGCAGCTGTGGCTTGTGACAGCCAAGTGGGGCTTTATAGATTCTGACTGCTTCCCAGGGGGCCCTCCAGCCCCACTCACCAGCACAGGAGCCCTTGGTGCCCTTCACACCCCACTTCTGCACATGGGGGCGTACGACTCGAGAGATGCCAAGGGATGGGAACGAGCAATGGTTTGCTTTTCATAAAAGGGACCTATACTTTATAGAAATAGGGATATCCCGGTGAATTCCTTTAACTGGCAAACGGCCCCTGGCATACTTGAAATAATATGGGGCATTTACCAGAATGTGGTCATTCACATTTTTAAGGAGTTTGCCAGTTGTGGAGTAAGTGTTCGGGTGAAAAGCCCATTGTCACAAAATAGCATGATCGGTTCTTCAGCTCCCCATCTGAGATGCTTCTCAGCTCCAGGAGGGGCCGTGGGAGGTGCTGCCTCCAGTCTCGGCCTCCTCAGTGTGGGGATAATGCTCCTCCTGTTTTATAACTGGGAAAAAGGAGGCCTAGTGGTAAAGCAGAGAGACCAGGTAACAGAAAACAGCCTCTGCAGCCCATCTCCCTGCCTGGGGCTGGAGGGGTGTTGGACGTGACCCCATTCCAGAGGACAGCCCAGTAGTTGCTGCATAGCCGAAGGGAGGACAGGGAGTTTCCTGGGGAAGGACCCAGATGGTATGTCATGGTGGGCAAGGGGTAGTCTTCGAATTCTTCTGGGAGTCCGGGTGTCCTGGGCTTGACTGTAACGTTTAGTCCCGCCTCAAGGCTGAGGGTCCAATTCTCCAGCCCTTGCTCCCATTAGAAACCCCTCAGGGCTGCCTGTCACTCTTTCTCAGTGACATCAGCACAGCAGCCACCAGCTCAGTGCCGTCCTTTTGGTCTAAACATGGGGGGCGGGAAGCCAAGGAAGGGTCCCTGTGGCAGCCCGGGAAGCTGTTTCTGGCGCAGAGGCTGAGGGGTGGGGGTGGGGGGCAGAGTGTGTGACCAGCTGCAAGACAGGCCTTTCAATAAAGGTCACTCATCCCGGAACACAGGCTGAGGCTGATTACAAGTGATCAAATCCTTCCATCTTAAAACTGGAGAGTCTCAGGCCTAATGGCAGAGTCAGAACCCCCAGGGGCAGAAACAGCTGCCACAGTCCTTTCTCCTCCTCGTTTCTATTAAGGGGCTTAGGGAGCCCATAGTATTTCGGGGGTCCTCGCAAAGCATGGGGTGGGTGGGGGAAGCCAGTGCCAGGCCTCCATCTTGGCTATGCAACCCCAGGTAGATTCAAGGCAAGGGACTGCCCCCATCCCTGTAGCTCGCCAGTGGGAGGAGGCTGGGCCTGCCAACGCCAGGCCCCTCTTGCTCTGTCCTTAGTGACCGGGACACGCAGCTGGCACGGCTGATGCAGCGGAACAACCTGAACCGCCAGGATGCAGAGGCCCGAATCAACGCCCAGCTGCCCCTGAAGGACAAAGTCCGAATGGCCCGTCACGTACTGGACAACTCGGGCGAGTGGAGCCTCACCAGACGCCAGGTCATCCTCCTGCACGCCGAGCTGGAGCGCTCCCTGGAGTACCTGCCACTGAGGCTCAGCGTCCTCACGGGTCTGGCCGGCATTGCCAGTCTCCTCTACCTCCTCATCCGCTACCTCCTGCCTTCTCTCTAGCTGGGCTTCCCAGGCAGGAAGGCCCAGGCCAACCTTCAACACACATACTCTATGGAGTCGGCCCACCACTCTCTGGAGTCCATCCAAGGCAAAGAACAGTATCTGTCAGTAGACCTCCTGCCCTCCCTTCCCAGGAGCCAACAGAACAGTGTCCATGACGGGGTGTGAAAGCAGCCATGAGAGACCTGTTTCTTGGGGTGGGTGCTGTCTGTGGCCTGACCAGTGTTGAAAGCTGGGAGCTTCCTTGAACTCCCCAAGCACATGCCCTGTCATGGCCAAAACCTCCTCGTGGACCATGGAATATCAGCTTGGACCAGACACTGCCACCTTCAAACAGGACCTCCCTGGGTGAAACCCGGGACCAGGATGCAGTGAGAGCTCCCTGGAGGAAATGCTGTAGCCAGCCTGAGGTGGGTCTCTTCTGGAATGACCCACCATCCTGCCTTGATACTCTCCAGCATTCCCCACACCATGCTTTTCACCTCCCACCCCCGCCCTCCCGCTCCATGCTCCCCTAGCCCTGAATTCTGGGTGGTCCACAAGCCCCTGGCTATTTCTGGACTCTCTGCCTTTGCCTGTCCATGCTGCTTCCCTACCTGGAATACCTTTTCCTCTACAGCTGGCCAGCTCCCAGTATAGGCACCACCTGGAGCCTGAAACTGAGTTAGGCGCTCTGGGATACCACCCTGCCGCATCTACCTTAATCTGTAGTGTAGTGATCAGCCAAAAGCTAGCTGGTCTCCCCTCCTAGACTGTAAGCCCTCTGAGGCAGGGGCTGTGTCTTACTATCTCTGTGATCCTCCCCCAGCGGTGCTTAATAAAGTGTGTGGATCTGGAATGTGCTGCGCTGTCGCTCTCCCCCAGCACCCCTGCCAACCAAGGTTCCCAGATGTGGTTGGCAGCATTTGGGGTTACGCTGCTTTGCCAGACCCCAGAAGGCATAGAAGCTCTCTAACTTCCCCCAGAGCATCGGGATGCAGCCAGGCCCAGATGTTCCACACACCCACTTCCTCCATCTTCCTCCCCGTGCAAATTAGGCCAGCGTAGACATGAGCTTCCCCTTGCCAAAGCCAGCAGGCCCGCTGATGTGTTGCTCCTGCGGCCAGCAGCCTATTAAGGCCAGAAATGAGCGTGACAAATGTGAATGCTGTGGTGGTCATATTTAGAGCCCCCCCCTTTCCCAGAGCTGCTTCTACCTCAGGGACCAGCTCAGTAATTCACTGCAAACCCCAACAGGCAAAGCAAGGCTGGACGAGGAGGCAGCAAGATGCAAGGTGGGGCCAGGGCAGCCTGGGGCTGGCAGAAGGCAGCTGCCTTCTGGGGGTGCCTGGTAGGAGGGGGAAAGGAGGAAAAGCACGGACCCCTCACAGTGCTGTTACCCCCCCCCCATCAGACAGTAAAGCCCTCTTGGGGGCCTGTGGTTTGCTGGCCATGCTGGTAGAGACACCCCGGGGGGAAAATCACATCGATTATTCCCACTGCTCATGCCGATCCTCACAGGCTCCTTCCCCAGGCTTGGTGGCCAGAGACGGCCTCAGCAGGCCCACGTTCTCCCAGCGGGCCTTCATGGCTCGGCTGCTGGGGCTGTGCCCTCCAGAGCTGCAGGGCGTCACCGAGCCTCAGCCGGTGCTCGCGGCGCGGCCTCCCCTCTGGCCGGCAGGTGGCAGCACTCGCCCAGGCAGGGGTCGGGCCTCAGCCGCGGTTTCTAACTTTCTCTCGGTCGCGTTCTCGCCTCCCCGCCGCCCCCCGAGGCGGAGGACGGTCTCAGGACCCCCGCCAAACGGCCGCGGTGGAAGCTAGTGGAAGAGCTGTGCTCCGCGTCCCCTGGGCTGCAGCCGCGGGCGCTCGGGACGGCTCGGGACGGGGCGGGACGGGACGGGCGCAGCAATGGACACGTCCACGCCCTCGAGGACAGCGCGCACCCACCCTGGACTCCCACCCCGCGCGGGCGCCCTGCGCTCCATCCCCACTTGGGCCCGGCCATCCCGCGCAGAGCCGGGAAGACACCGGCGCAGCGACCCCGCGGCCCTAACCGCCTATCCAGACTGGGGCTGGCCCTGGGATAACCCTCAGAGCTTGGGGAGCACAACCGTGAAGTTACCCCCTCGCAGCTTCTCAGGTGCGCAGGCGTGAAGGTGGCAGGGCTAGAATTTGACAGAGGCTCAGGGGATCCAGGTAGCCAACAGACGGGATCCCCAGGCTTCCAGAATCCCAGCTCAGTGCCCCGCCCGCTCCCTGCACCGCCCCACACCTTTGCTCCCTGGGAGCTGAGTCAACTCTTCTTCAGGCGTTCAATCCCCCTCTCCTTGGGGGAGGGCCAGGGGGAGGTGTGGGACAGGCCGGCTGGGGTGGGAGAGGGAGAGACACAAAGGCACTTTGGGTCAGGAGGAAGGAGTGGGGGGCAGAGAGGGAATAGGGTGCATCGTTGACCCAAGGCCATGGGGGTACATAGAGGTGGGCAGGGGGGAGTCAAGTGAGGCCGGAGGTGAGGTGCATGGGCTGGTTGCCTTCCAGCGCCGTCTGGGAAGGGTAGCAGGTGGCTCCTCTACCTCGCCTGCAGGGCGGAGGTGCACCCAGCTGGGACCCAAAGAGCTCCTCTCCGGGCTCCCCGCTCTCCCCTCCCTGTCGCTCAGATTCCAATACAATTTCCAGCTAACCAGCATGTCGATAGAACAAGTCGGGCAGCCGGATTGCTGGCCAATTACAGGAAATCATTCTGCTCCACAGCTCAGCGCCCAGGGAGAGCGAGGAGGGAGGGAGGGGGGCATGGGAGGGAGCAGGCAACCGGCTTGCAGGCTGGAAAGGGGCTTGGGGCTTTTGCTTCAGGCAGGAATTCTATAGTCCCTGAGAGGAGCTGGGGTGGGAAAGTGGGGGAGAATGGGAGGCTTCTGGGGGGGGGGCCCAACGGGATTCCTCCTCAGCTTCACAGAGCTCTGGATCCAACTCCTCTGTGATGAGCTCTGTGCCCCGAGCCACAAAGAGAGAACTGGGTGTGCTAAGAGCCGATGCAGGGGTCCAGGAGCATCTGCTTGGAGTAGAAGAGGGACAGAGGGGGGAGACCAGTCTCTCCCAGAGCCCAGGCATTGAGGAGGTTTGGAAACGGGGAGGCACCCAGGCCTCCCTGACTCAGGAGCCCTGCAGGGCCATCTGAGGGCCCGTAAGCTGGGGCTCATGAGGCGGGGCCTGTGTTTGCCACCCCCCACCCCAGGATTCCTGGGGGGCCAGGGAGAGGGAAAGGAAAGGAAAGGAAGGGAGAAAAAGGCTGCAGCTTGAATGGACCCGCAGCAGCCTCACTGGTGAACCAGGGAAGTCGCCAGGCCAATCTTTTACCCCAGGGCGTGGGGCACAGAAATGTGGGAGGGGAAGGGGCTCCTTCCCAGCACTCCTGCCTGCCTTCCACCTCAGATGAAATAACCCCGATTCTCCTCTTCCCACGCTTACCCCCATGCTTCCTCACGGCCATTCCAGAGTGGCCTTAAAGCCCTCCCCTCCAGGCCGGCCCACTCTGGGGACCTGCTTCCTGCCGCCAATGCGCAGCTCCCCCTCCCAGCCTTGAGGTCTCTGCAAGTCCTGGGAGATCCTTGAGGGGCAGGAACTGGCGTCTGCACAGTGAGTGATTACAGTCTTGACCTCCTCAAAGGCAGCGCTGTGCTCCCCTCTCCCGCTCCAGGCTGTGGCCAACCCGCCCCAGGGCCTGGGTTGGCTCCCCCTTAGCCCTTTGGCCAACTCAAGTGCGGGCAGACGGCCAGAGGGGACAGGAGCTGGGCTTGTGAGCCGCACTCAGGCGAGCCTGAGTGGGAGTGGGGAGTGGGGCCCGCGGCCTCTCCTTCCCGGGGTCCCTGCCCCCAAGTACACAGGCCTGGACGTCGGTATGGGGGTGCCCGGGCCGGCCCTATTTGAGTCTGCCGCTTGGCACATCGTGGGCGCCCTCCACTCCCATGAGCAGGGAGCTGGAGCCTAGGCCGCGGGCTGGAGGGCGCCCCCCCACCCCTCCTCGGCCCGGCGCTCAGCGACGCGGAAGGGGGCGCCCGCCCCGCCGCGTCCTCTGGGTCCCCAGCCCGAGGCGCGGCGCTCGCGCGGCTGCTCCCCAGCATCGATCCGGCCGCGGGGACCTGGGCGCCTCCCCCCGCCCCGCTCCCCCCACCCCCCGCTTTTCGCTTTTAATTGAAGTTTGTTTGAGCAGAGAGCGGAGCGGGCAGAGGCAGAAACCAAATATTTAGTTGCTGCAAATTGGCACCTCCAGATCAATTACCCGGCCCGTGTCAGGGCCGCGCCGCCCCCGCGCCCCGCGGAATCTCAATGCCGCGCCGCCCCCGCCCGGGCCGCCCGCGCCGCCCGCCTCCTCCCGCCGCACGTTTCTCATCAGCTCCAGCCATACATCACCCGTGTCCGCGAGGGGAGCAGATTTTCAATGGGGAAAGTTCCCCGGGAGGGTCGTCGTTGCGGATTCCCGCTGCGCCCTGCGCTGTCTGGCGCTGCCCGCGCTCGCCAGGCCGCGACGGCCTCGGGGTGCGCTACGCTGAGCTCCCAAGCAAGGACTTTGGGTCACCCGGACTTGACCCGACTCCAGGAACCTTCTGACCCTCTGAGTAAAAGCTGAGCTGAGCAGAAGCTCCCTGAGCCTCAGCCCCCACCCACGTCTGTAAGGTGGGGGTCCATCGCCACCTGGCAAGGTTGCTGTGGGCGTCCACAGGGCAGAGGCGCAGCGCCCTGCCCTGGCCAGGTCCGCACTGGCTCCGCCTAGATATTTGCCCTCGGGGTAAATAGGCTCAGGAATGAAATAAGGGACAGTGGGGTGGCATGAACACAAGTTACCGGAAAATCCAAGGGGAAAACAGGGGGCAGCCGGCCCCCCCCAGAGTCCCTGGTAGAAGCCAGGCAGATAGGGGCGCAGGTCAGCCTCCTTCTGAGAAAGTTTTGCCTCCCAGCCCAGGCGCATCTGGGCAACACCAGAAGAGCGGCTGCTTCTCAGCGCTGAGGATGGAGACTTAGCTGGGCCTGGGGGTGAGCAAAGAGAGCCTTGACCCCAAGGCAAGGAGGGGGCTGGAGGGTTCTGAAGGTCACCAGAGCCTGAGTACCTGGGGCTATGCCCAGGCAGGGGGGAGGCGTGCCCTTGAATCAGGAAGCTGGGCTGTTGTGGCGGCTGGCCGCCTCCTGGGTGCGCAGTGTGGGCAAGTTATTTAACTTGTTTTCCCCTATGTCAAACAGGGCAGTCACCCTCAGCCTCCCAGAGCATTGTTTTTTAAAGATTTATTTATTTATTTATGCATACAAGAAGTGGGGTGTAAGCCAGAGGTGGGGGGTGTTGAGAGAATTCACCAGACAGAGTGGGCAGCAGAACAGGTGGATCTACTGAAATACACTGCTGAGGGGAGCAGCGGGCAGGCAGGAGAGGTCTGCTGTGCCATGTGGGTCAGCGCCCTGGCCAGAGGATCGAACTCATGCTGCAGTGGCTGGGAATAGCTTGATAATGCTGTCTTTAACCCCTGCACCACCAGGGAGGTCCCCCAGAGGGTGTGTAAAGGAAAAAGGAGAGCAGGCGTGTGAGAGGGACAGCACACCCACAGGCATTAGGAAGATGGTGCTGAGACTGTGTGAGTGTTCCCAGGCCCAGCGCAGCTTCCAGAGTTCCTTGAGGGAACTGGAGCCAAATAGGAATTTTTAAAATGGCTGCTAGGCCAGAGAGACAGGCATTCTGTGTGGGAGGAGCGATGTCGGGCGTCGGGGAAGGCTGAGGGTCCCGGCTTTGTGTCTAGGGACTGACCCTTCCTTCCCTGTTTCATCGCTGGGCGAATCTGCACACCGTCTTCCTCCTCCTCGCTTCCACCTGCACCTCCCCACAGCCAGAACCTGCCTC